AAGTCTAAAACTATCGATTTGTAGCTGAAAAGTTTTGCCACAAACCTGTTGTAGGAAGAATTTTTTTCTGGCACCTATTTATGCGCATTGCTGTGTAGTAGCTAAGATGCCACAAATTCATTGAGAGTTTGTACCATTCAAATTAGTGTAGCTCTATGTAAAGCATGATGGGCTATCTGCGTCAGTCAAAAAAAGATGTGAAACAGCTTATTACTTGAGAACATCGAAGATGACGAACTTAGTTTCTTAAATAAGGTCAAAATATACGCACTTTTTAATTTATTATATAAAACTGTTTTCTTTTCGAAAACAAAAACACCAATGTACTTTCCGTCTTAAAATTCAATATATCGGTACAAACTCTTCCTGGATATCCAAGGTTTTTCTATTGATCTAACGAGAGAAGGTTTCCAGGTGATAAATCGCTTTTTGAATGAAAACCATACGACTACAGGTATGCAGTGGGCATTTTCCCATAGAGCAGGCGGACATCTGATTTTTTGAGTTAGAAAATGATTATTTTTGCATAATATGGTCTTACTATGTGTCAGATATTAGCAGAAGTAAAAAAGATCGAATTCGAAAAAAACTTTTTTCGACAAAAGGTTCCTTAGGGGGACCCTTGCCCTGAATTTTTGTCAAAAATGTTTTATTTATAAAACAACAAAATATACATCATTCGACGTCGTTTTTCACGGTGATTCCGAATATGACTTTATGTTATGGAAAAAGTGCTCTTATGGGGGAGAAAAACGCGAATTACCTCGAAAACCCTATGAGTTTTCGAGGTAAAATCAATAACTCGACTTAGAAAAAAAGACGAGATCATCATAAATACACGATAGGCTGAGGAACATTTTCATGTAATTAGAAGGTCTGTCAAGGCTTAGCGCTTTTTAGCGCTGTCACTGCACTGAGGTTGTCTCATGTCGGACAGTAGTAATCCAGACTACTAGACCTTTTTTCGTTTCATACAAGATGCAAAAAGAGTACCTTCTATTATCATGAGATGCAATAGGTTGTGCTGATTCCGAATATGGGCTTTGGATAGGGTAATATTGCACGTCTGTACATAGAAATAAGAATCTTTGTAGATGTGTCATATTTGACGGTGTTTTTTGTGAATGTTCGTAAGTTAACTTACTCATCGAAGGAGTTCATTAATAGTCGATCATTATATACCATTCGATAGCACTTTTCAAGGACTACATTTACTACTGTTCGAATTCAAAAAAGCTCACTTGTCGATTTTTGCTCAAATTTCCGCCTGAATGCCTACTGTGAGGTAATCGATAGTGCTGATTCCAAATATAATAGTCGGAGCTGCTCTTAGGCCTTTGGAGACTCGGTTTTCCGGAAGCAAAATTTGTTTTTCTCGAAAATAATTTCTGATGTTGCTAGATTGTAGAGCATGTCGCGTTGCTTAAGTAAATAAAGTTTTAGGATCGTCGGACATGTCCCAAGAACGCTATTAATCTTTTAAACTCTATCGTTGCTGAAGGCGTTCTTAGGACATGTCCGATGGTCCTAAAATTTTATTTACTTAAGTAACGTGACATGCTCTACAATTTGGAAAGATCAGAAATTATTTTCAAGAAAAAAGAATTTTGCTTCCGAAAAACCAGTTTCCAAAAACCGGGTCTCCAAAGGTCTAAGGGCAGCTCTAACTATTATATTCGGAATCAGCACTATCGATTACCTATAGTCGTATGCTTTTCATTGAAAAAGCCATTTATCACCTGGAAACCTTCCCTCGTAAGTCAAGGAGGTATGAAGCAATACTAATAACGGCATTCTAAGGACATCTGATCAAACAAAATTTAAATTTGATTGGAAATGAACAAGTGGCATATCTGTCATCGATCTTTAGATGGTATTTATTCTAAGTATGGTTAGTGATGATGGGCTTCGATACGGAAATTATGTGTTTCCATTATGGAGTATCGCATGTGGATGGACCTTAGCATTATCATCCATAATATTTATTCCACTTTATGCCATATATCGATTAATATTTATTGAAAAAGGATCACTCAGAAAGGTATGCAATCTGATTGAGGTAAAAACATGTTAAAATTATCTCAAACATCGATTTTCAGGGATCAGTATGCATAATGGATAACACCGAAAATATTTTCATATATTCTAGAGAATTTGTGATGCGATAAAACCCGTCATTAAACCCAACCATTTATCTGGTGAAACTCAGACAGACTCAAGTGAACTCGAAGTGCTGAATGCGAGCATCAAACTAACGTTAATACGATAATTTTATTGACATTAATTTTCTGCTTTTGTACAAAAAATATACACATCTTCACCGTGATGTACATACAACTCCAGCGATTTGTATGGCATTTACTGAATCTATTCAAGGAAGCAGATGATTCGCTTTTGAACCGTTCGATTATTAAATTAATTTTACATAAAAAAAACTGTCATTCGTGCGTGTGGTAGAAGTTAGGAATAAAAGCAACAAGTTCATTGTACATATCGGGCGACCGGCCCGGTTAAACAATACGATAAACGCCGTTTGCCTCGAAAACGTTTTTTTGCTTAGATAATTAATATTACTTTCTCCTCCAATATTACTTTCATTTCTTGATGTCGTATTAAACAAGCGTTAGCTAAGTATAGTTAGGATGTGTTGGACAACCAGTTTTTAAGAAAGAATTTCAAAATGCTTTGCTTATGAAAAGGTAGTTTCAAATCTTCGCTATCGAATGGTAAAAATCGTGATTTTGTATCTTACTCCATTCTCGAGTTATTTAGAAAATGACTGAGTCCACTGCTTTCTGAAAATGATGGTAGTGATCTGTTTGTTTCATCATTCGGCAGTCAACGCTTGAGCACATGTTATACAGACATTTCAAATTCCTTCTCTATAGGCAGTGCATGTCCTGTGAACCTCAGAAGTGATGTGAAATGATTTATGGGAACTTCGAAAAAGGCTGCAACTATGGTCTTTCTAACATCTTAGGAAGTTTAAAATGTTTATGATTCACTTAAATACGATCTACAAGCCATGAAACCTTCACATAATGATCAATTTTAGGTAGTTTACCTCATCGTGCGATTTAAGGTTTCTGAAACATTTTAGGAGTTCTAAGATTTTTCGCAAAACAATAAACCAACATTTGAACTTATCAAATTCTTACACAGTAATTTTTCTATTTTCATTGATTACTTTCGTTGGATGGTTTTATTTTGTTGAATGCCTCCGATTTTGAATGTATAAAATCCGTGGGAGCTCAACACCCACAGAAGTTGTAAGACGAAAGTGGCACCTTTTCTTTTCCAAAAGAAAGAAGAACGACATCTTTTCCTTTTTCAAGAAAAAGATTTTTTTTTGCATCTTTTAAGAAAGCCTTTTCCTTGCAAAAAGAAAAGATGTCGCTTTTCTTTCTTTTGGAAAAGAAAAGGTGCCACTTTCCTTTTTCTTCGGAAAGAAAAGATACGGATTATATCTTTACTCTTTACGGTACTGTTTGAGAAAGTTTGCCTTTCTTGCGGGACATAATAGAAGTCCACTGGGCTTCTAATTGTGGACGCGAGTTTAAAGAGAGAAGAAGAATGAGAAAGAAGAAATGAGAATGTCCCTATTCTTAAAATGTATGCAAATCGTACAAAACTAATTTACTCCAGAATATCTCTGGTTACAGTTATGAGCAATTACAGTTTCTACAGTTACAGTTATACAGTTATGACAGTTACAGTTAACTGGTAAAAACTGTAACTGGGGCATACCTAGACGTAATCGGTCAATATTTTGTCGATCGGGTCGGTAACTGATCTAAAAATTTTGGCCTAGACGGGGTCAGCCACAAGACTAGCGGTTAAATTTTGCAGTATACGGGCTGTGCTTAGGCCTAATATTGCTGCGAGTTTCTCTTTAACCCGTTGGAAGCGTGCGTTACAGTGAAAAAATATTGAAATTTTACTAAGCGAATCGTAACTCGGGAAGGAAGCCGCATGGGCCCAAATCCTTTTAGGCTTTTTGTTACACTAATGTGCCCTATCGATCAGCAAAATATGAGCTTAAACAGAGTGGGATACCTGGTGAGGTTCCCTCGTTGGCGATAATAAATATGCTTATAGTACATGTACAAAGTATTTGTTGAAAGTACACTAGTACAAGTACTTTTACTTTGTACTTGAAAAGTACAGAAAGTACAAATACAAGTATCTATGCTCTGTTCTATTATGCCTGTCTGTGTGTGAAGAATGATGAGAAGGAAAAAACACATATTTTCTTTTTACGAATAGATAGAGTGACAGGTCTAGTTTCGAACTACGTATAATTGTTACTTTCATATTCGGTTTCCGAAGAAGCAATATTTCTGTATTCATAGGTAGTCCAGAGTTACCTATTCGAACTTTTAGACCTAAAAGAAAACTTACCTGTCTCAAGTTTTAGTTTATTTTTTAAGACATGGAGTCAAAGACTTTCTTATCCATATCATAAAATAGTTGTGTTGTTCCACATCATTCAATCTTCCTTTCCCCAGGAAACCTTGGGATCACCGAGCATTTTTTATCTGTATTATAATTTTATTTCGCTTGCTTCTGCATATATATATATATATACTGTCTTTTTATTAGTATCGCTCATACTTGAAGAAGGCTACTAGCCGAAACGCGTCGTTTTGTTATCTCTTTTTTATTATTTTTCGCATTTTACTTGTTCGTCGTTATTTCTTACTTTTATCATTAATATACCAATATCTTTAATAAAGCTATCAATTCAGTTCAAATCAAATCAATTCAATTATATATGTGTGTGTACAATAGGCTGTACGTTTTCTCGTCTTTTTTTCTTCATCGTTATAATAAATTTCTGTTTCTGCTGGACATTCTCATCTTAAATATAGCTCATTTTTCTTGTACTAGGGAGCTATACTTGGCTTGATTCCGTCTTTAACATAATTTCTCAATTCTGTTTTATAAATATTTCGCGTAATCGATCATTTCAAGTCGGCAACTTTATTGTCATTCTTTGTTCATGTTATATTATGTTTAACTCTTAATTGTGCCGCTGTATCTTGTAGTTCATTAAGTAAATATTGTTTAATATCGTTCTGTGTATTCAAATGATTTAAATTCATCAACAATTGATCATTCGATAGTAAATCAGATGTTTCGACAATATAATTGTCAAAATAGGGATGTGAAAGGGCTTGATCAGCTGACAGACGCTTATAGGGATTAAATATTAATAATTTCTGGAGAAGATCGAATGCGTTTTGATCGGTTAGTGTCTGGAATGTATTTTGAAACTGTGCTATTTGTGGAGATCGTGTATTAAAATATTCAATAAAAAATTGCCGACGATCTTCTGGTAACCAGTCAAGATCATCAGATAACACAGGTAAACCAGTCAATTGTAAAATGTCGTTCAATACTAAAATTCCGTTATCATAAATAGTCCTGAACAATTTTTTTCTTAATAATATCTCTCCAAAAATGCATCCTGTCGACCACATATCAACCGATTTTGTATAATTTGGACAACTTAATAGTAATTCTGGTGCACAATAACTATACGTACCAACTAAGATAAATGAAGAACAATTATTTGCATATTCGTTAGACAGGTTGTCTTCGTTCTTACTAACCTCCATTGTCCATTTTTTGTGTTAACCGATGAGACCAGTCTCCCTGTAGATCTTCAAATACTGAAACAGAAGACAAAATATAAATACAAAATAACAAAAATATTATCATTCATTCACTTACCGTTTTCACTGGTTTGAGCACACCCAAAATCACCGATACGCACTTCACACCGAGTAGGGTGTGTAGTGTTTTTCAGAAAAATATTTGATGACTTTAGATCACAATGTACTGGAAAAGAGACGCAGATACACATTATAGACAGTGTTGATGACGCGTCATTAAAGTCTGTACTTACTAACGTTGGCTGAATGAAAATGTTTAATTGCTGTTAATATTTTGTACATGATATGTTGGATGTCTAACGGTTTATTTTTCGTCATTGCACGCTGTAAATCCTCTTCCAGAAGATTTTGTACTAAATAGATCTCCTTGAATTCATCATAATTTTGAGAATTCAGAAGAATGTCGTATAGTTGAACGACACCTTCATTTTTATCCAGTTTACTTAATATAATCGTTTCTCGATAAATTCTTTTATAATGCTCATACTTTTCTTCTATAGTTGAAATTTTATAATTTAATTTAATCTTTTTTATCGCTACATCACCAAGATGATCATGTTTAGCTCGAGTAACAATACCATATGATCCACGTCCAATGAATTCTAATTCATAATAGTCTGGTCCCACCGTGAAATCTTCACCGAATATCCTGTAGACACGTTGACGAACGACTTCATTGTACACTTCATCAATACCGAATGGTATATCATCTTCATCGTCGTCGGTTTGATGGAAACTAGTGATTGATAATGTTCGAGAAGGAACAATCCATAAAGGTATGACCGTTTCGCATGCAACGTAATTAGATTGAAGTATGTTCGGTAACGAAGTAAACGTTATACTTGAGTTTGATATGTGAGTGTTATACGTTGGCGTTAGTGAATGTGATCGCTGTCGTTGAATAGGGATTGTGTCAACTGTAGAAGGAGTACTCACACCAGGGAATAGATAATCGGCCAGAATATGATCAGGTAGATTACTATCGTTCAAACTAGTCATTCTTTCATACGACATACCTATGCATGAAAAATTCTTTCTCTATATCACATTACAAGGGAAGTTTCCATATGTCAACTTACTCGTGCGGTTGTTCATAAGATTTTCTAGTGGATTCATGTTTCAAATATGTGTTTTATATATCTGAAGTGAATCAAAAAATCTGAAAGACACAAAACCTCTTGTAATAAAGGAAAAGATGTAACTGAAAAGTAGAAAATTAAAAACTACGATTGCTCAAGTCGATCGTCAGCAGCCAAAGAAGGCAATAAAGACATGTATAAATATTTCCGAAAAAAATTCTTCTTTTGTATATAAGGAGACAGAGAGAGAACAAAAATATATATTTTCGTCATTATCACATGTTTCTCACTATATGTGGACAAATGTTCTTATTTCTCCGTATTAGAAGGAGACAAAAGAGAACGAGAAATATTCATTTGATCCTTCGAAGACGTAAGACAAGGCGTTATTTCACATACATCTCATCTTTCTATCTACACTAGGCATCTCTTTCTGGCCACAAGTTATTGATTCATAGTATATCATTATGAGAGAGGTTGAAAAATGCACTCTTTTTGCGCCACACGGATCAAGCTGAAATTTTGGGAAATGAATAGTGACTATTATTTATTCATTTTTTGAAAGTTCCATCTGTACACATATAATGGTTTCAAAGATAATTACTTTTATAGTTGACGCTAGAAGTGAGTAGTAGTTATTCTTCTTGAGCGTAGCACTTTTGAACTGGAGCAATTTTTTCGAAGAGAACGCGCCGTCTAGCATAATTCTTGATGACTGAAAGCTTTTTTAGAGTATATAAGTACGCTTCTCTCGGTTTTTGAAGTGAACTTTGAGTTAGTATAGTTCTCTTTTGTTGCTTAGTTGCACAAGAGAAATCACCCTAAATGGCAAATTCTACACAGTATAAGGAAGAAATGAGAAAATATAGTTCAACTATAGAGGTCAAAGGTACCGCTTACATTTTCCTTTATTTTGATATTATCATGTTTCATTTTCCTTATATGCACACGTCCATAGACTATGGGACAAAGCAAGAAAAGAAAAGCTGTTATGTTTGTAAAGGAAACGATGCCTTTACTAGTGATGGGCGTAAGACGCAAGAAGAAATAATTTGCTAGTATCTATTCTTTCGTCTCTCGTGACCTATACATGTATAGTATAGGTCATGGATGACGATAAAATTAAAGGGAAGAGAAAACATAACGTGCGACGTTAAGGAAAATGCTTTTCTTACCGTACGAAACGAAGGAGTTACGTTTATTACGCGAAATTCTGAATGTAAGTGAATCATCCTTAACGAGATAACGTAAGTAAGTCATTCTCAGCTAGGCATGATAGTACACTACTATGGACAAGATTTATATTATTTACGTATTTTCTTCCTGTTCATTTCATATTGTTTCATTTCTGTAGCGTAATCATTTGTCCTATAATACTTAACGTTAATTTGTTTCTTACGTTAAGAATTCCATATTTCGTTTAGACGTTAAGCTGCCATTTTGTTTTTCCCGTTTCTTACGTAACTCTTCGTTTTCTTTCCTTTGCATTAGTTATCAAGTATGTGAACTCTAAATTTAGACGTAAGGCACAGAACAGACCACATTACATTCATATATAGCGAAATACCATGCAAGAAATAAACGACTATAGCGATACCGTAGTTTTTATTCCTTTCCTTATCTATCCTATTCTTATCCTATCTAGAAATTTACAGTGAATATTCTTCTCCTTGAATATATAAAAGTTGAACATTTGATAAATATATAAAATTTATTCGTTTCTTGCGTTATTCTTTAATCGAAAAATCTTAAAAAGAATTCAGTAAATTTTTGTATCAAAATAACTTTGATGTATTCGTATACATACATCAAAAGAAACCGATAATATATCGAAAGGTCATTAAAATAAATCCGTTGTGCCGCGGCATAACGGCAGGGCGGTAGAGGGGACGGCAAGAATTTTGAAATGCTCCCTAGCATTTTCTTACCATGAATCTGACCACACAGCAGGGATGCCAACTAAAAAAGAAATAAAGGGGGACAAATCTAGGAAAAAGAGGGACATAAGAGGGACTTTTTCTTCTACAAAGGGGGACAAGATAAAACGCTGAGATAAAGCTTTTTATTTACATTT